TTCCGTCTAGGAACTGCGAGAGGTCCATCTCACCCTTCTCTGCCTTCCATTCTCTGAACCTTATAGCCCCTCAACACTATTCCACTGAAGTTCTGTCTTATTTACACACCGTATTCGAGTGCTGAACCCTTGAATAAAGCGCGCAGAATTTTCAGCGAATACAAGCCAGGAATGTTTTCGCCGGTGAACCATCTCTTCTACTATGAATGTGTCCGAACTCAAATTTTCCCAAATATCGACGTCTCGTGGCTACCTAATTCCCGTATACTTGGTTCCAGAGAGGCGCTTAACCGAATTCCCCCTTTTCGTCTAACACGCCCCTCAGTTGCCACACATTTACAGTCTCCCGGAAGACCGTCGTAATTTCTTCACGCTGATGTTGACCCGTTTCCGGAGCGGTCAACAGAATCAAAGTCCTCTGCTTAAATCCGCTACACCATCAAAATAGCCTTTCTTCAACCTATGCCCGCCTACTTCCCGCGTTTTCTTCTTGACATCCAACTCCGGTTACCTTCCACATTATATGTCTTCCTAACTTACTGAAACGCGAATCCAATTTGGCAGTGTACTGTCAAAACTCCAAAATTTATCGTCCGTGCATACCAAGACGCTACCACATGTAAACTTCCTTATCCTTCTGAAACAGAGATGCCTTATGGTTGCTCAACGTCCGCTAGACAAACATTTCTTAGTTTCCCATTTTTGAATTTAAATGCTCTATTCGACCACAATAATCCGTAAATTTCGCTCAACGCGATCTAACTAGTCGTTCATTCGTCTTCAGGTCCCCGGCTTCTTATGTGCTGTAGTTACTACGAGCTACCGATATTTGAACAAACAAACAAATAAAGATTGAACAGAATCCAAACCGTTACCACAGAGTACTAACGTTTGCTCAATCTCAAGAACAATATAGCTGCGATAGAATGAAATAATCTACCTTATAACGGCCACGTGCTTACCGTTTCGATGATTATTCAAGGGCCAGGTGCGAAGAGGCGATCGGTAGCGTTTACTAGGCCACCTAAGCCCTGCTGGCAGTGCAGTGAATGGCATTTTGTCCCTTTCTGTCCTCTCAGGAAGCACAAGTGTCAGAAGGGCCACAAAAAGGATACAACACTCTCATAACAAGGTAACAAACCATTCAAGCGAACAGTGCTTCCTCCAAACCCACACACCAAACCAGTACTAGCTACTTTCAACCCGAATCAGTAACGTCGTAGGAATTTTGTGTAAGTTGTCCTACTTGATAACGCCTCTGATTTCACAAGCAGAAGATCATGGGTGTACCTCCTTTCAACACCACAAATTGTGTTGCTCTAGAGGCTTCTGGTTGGAAATTACAGTTGACCGGTGAGCTTTCTTGTTCTGAGCTGTGCAACATTTGCACAGGTTGCAGGTTGTCGTGTCAGACGAGAGGAAGCACATGTCCACAATCAATACACCGTGAACTTTTCCAATGCAACCGACTGCCATTAGGTGTCAAGTCCGTACTGACAATACTCCAGCAGTTAATGGACACCATGCTACTGGGACTATCCTTTGCTGTCACTTATATGAATGATATTATCATCATCGACTCTGACCAAGAAAATCTCCATAAACGTCTCGGTCAAGTACCGGACCGAATCATAGACTATGGATTTTACCTCAGAACTGAACAGAGTCAATTTTTCATGGATTCCACCAAATATCTGGGATTCATAATCGATCGTCAGGACCGAGGATCGAACATTGAAAACATGGATGCCATCAAGCCAATGCCCCCACTCAAGGAACTACCTATATTGAGCTCATTCCTGAGATTCATCAGTCATTATAGAACTTTTGTGCCACTGAACAGTTAGCTACTCAAGGATTGCCAGGAGAGTTTTCAAAAAATCAAAGCTATGCTTGCTTCAGACATACTTTTGGCACTTATGACCCCTTTCGTGATATCACTGTTGTGAACAATGCATCCACCTACAGTGTGAGAGCAGTCGTTTCACGTATGTTTTTAGATGGCTTGACAGCTGCAGAACAAAGTTACAATCATATCAGAAAAGAAGCACCGGTGATGCACCGGTGATGCACCGGTGGATGCATTTTCAAGACCTTTAGAAAATAGACCACCGGAACCGGAAGGTTCAGTTAGAGCTCAGGTCTCAGCTAAACCGGAAGTGCGATGCATAATAATGGAAGCCATGAAAGGAACTCTAATTACGTTTGGAAGTAAGAGGCAGGGAAATCATACGAGATCCACTACAGAGCCAAGTAAAGAAGTACCACCTCTCCAAGTGGCCAACAAAACAATGAGAACAAGAACCGGCTTGAGTTTAATCCGAAACGATCGTCAATTTTCGCTGGTGATGACTGGTTATTGCTCGCAGAACACGTCACCCAACCAGAGGAACTGCAAAGGCTTGTTATGCTAGAGTTATATAAAGGACATCCTGGGTTCATCCAGGTGAAATCATTGCTACGAATCTATTGGCCTCATGTTGAAAGCTAAGTCAAAATGCTTGTCAAATCTTGCCATTTGCGTGCAATGGTTTCAAACCCTCCCGGAAAATGTGAACTCCGTACTTGACCGGTACCACAGAATGCGTGGTCAATGGTACATGTGGGCCATGCAGGTCCCGTGAACGGTCAAAGTTTTCTCATTATCGTAGACACTTAGAGCAGGTGTCCAGCTCCACTCCGTCAAAAGCGGCCTCTTTGCTTGTGGACACAACCGTCGCCGACGAACCATTCAACCATAGCCGTAAACATGATTACAGCCCACCGAAAAATCCACCACACATCCAGTTGGCCACGCTGATCGCCGGGGGATCGGGTGTCCACACAAATACGAAAAAAAGCGGCTGCAGTCAAACAAGCCCAATAAGATTCGCCAAATTGGAAAACTACTGGCTGGATTCAAGGACACTCCTCCGCGAAAACGAGCCTCTTGGGAACGCCACCAAAATCATTACTTCTTGGTGCCGCCACCCAGTGCTCAGGGCCTCTCAGAGACACCTTTCCGGTCAAAGAGAGCGAAGACACCCAAGAACCCAGGAAGGGGAAAATTGCCGCAAATCTTTGAGCAGCAGCAAATCTGGTCGCCAAAAAGACGGTGCTGAAAGAGCTACAAGCAGCATCGGTCGAAATTTTCGCCCACGGGAAAAAACACCGTCCCTCAAGGCTAAAAGGCTCGCGGTAATCAGCTCTCATGGGTCGAAAAAACATTGTAAGCTGAAAGCAGCCCCATAAACCACGAAGAAAGGAAGCAGGCGACATTGCCCCAGAGGCTCCTCTGGAGCCTTTGACACAAACCCGGCGCCCAACTTTTACGTCTGCTAGCCTCCCTGGTTACTCAACTTTCGGCTCCTCACTCTCGGAGGCAGCAGAGACAGTGTCGAAATGCTTGTCCACAAACTGCCTCAGCCTTTTCAACAAACTCGCCGACGTTAAACAGTCGGCTTGCCATGAAAACCGTCCATTATCGCACTCACAGAGACCCGGCTCACACCAGATGTCTCTGACGCGGGGATTCCGACAGTTAGTCTATTTTTCGAGGTGACTAAAAACGAGGGCGGGCTGGTGAGGTTGCTCTGTACTTACATGCGGCCCTGCCAATCCCGATTCCCCTCTCTGATACCACTCCTGCACCATTTTGCGATGCATTGTGGGTCCAAATCTCGCTGCGCGGGTCCGTTCCTCTCACTCTCGGTGTGGTCTACCGTAGCCCCTCGGGTCCCCCTGAAGATGACCTCATACGAACCCTTGAGCAACCCTCCTCCAACTAACACTTCACTCATCTCCTGCTGGTAGGTGACTTCAATGCCCCAAAAGCCTCCTAGATGGGGCTCCAGCGCGTCGAATCAAGCGGACTTTTGCAGCGGCGCCGATCGTAGTCGTTCGACAGAGCGCTTGGACTCAACATGTCGTTGCACTCACCAGATACCGCGCAGGCCAACTACCATCCCCCCTGGATTTGGTCATCACCAACGAAAGACACTTCGCTGATCAGGTAACAATTACCGCTCCACTGGGAAATAGCGACCACTGTGTGCTGTTCCTTGATTTCATCTGCAATCGGGCCAGAAATCCCGAGACCTCTGCCGTGCTGACTTCTCAGGAATGCACTTCTTTCTAATGCAAGTCACCCTGGGACCAGCTTCAGTGGAAGAACTTTATAAAACAATTGTCCAGAAAGTTCACGGAGCTGACACGACGTTCCTAAAAAACCAGGACGCACTCGGACGAACCACGGGCTGCCAAAAAGGATTCGGCGACTTCTGGAAAAAAGTACCAACTGTTTTCCAGAAAGTTGACTACAGGGGATACAGATGACGAGCTGGCATTTCGTAAAATGGGGACCCGCTGTAAATCAGAAATCCGCCAATGGAACATGCGAAGACAAGCCACCATCCTGGGCCTCGCCCCAAAAAAAACGTTTTGTTCAAATACATGAGACATCGCCGCAGAAACAAGCCATCCGCGTTCTCCTTGAGGGACAGAAACGGAGAACCAACGAATGACCCATCAGCGGTACCTGAGGTCTAGAGAGAACACTATGCGTGTCTATACCCACTCTTGCCAAGGCGTAACTACGAACAGCCTCTAACCGACTTGGTCTTCACAGTGGAGGACATTCATCAACTGCTGCACAAGATCAACCATTCTACCCGTTGGGGCCCGACGGGGTCAGTCCAAGGATCCTGAAGGAAACTTCGTCCACACTGGCAAATCATTTACACATGGTGTTCCGTCAGTCGCTTGACGGTCGTCCACGCTGCTTCTAGAACCCAGTTTAAAGCACTATTAGACATTTGTTTGCGCGAATCCTCGCGCTGGCAAGCATGCTGCCCCGCGCTGAGAACATAAAAGCAGTGCTAACACCCTTTTTCACTTGTGCCTTTCAGGTGAACGACAGCCACTGACCGACAAGAACAAAACCTACACGGGAATCTTGGGCAATAGCCTCGATCCTGTGTATCAATCCGTGAATCCGTGAACACGAACTGAAGCTTTCTCAAGGCCAACTGTGTTTGAAATTTTTTAAAGGGCCCTTTATATTATCGCAACTATTCACGTGGAATTCATCAACCAAATGTCGGGCACAAGTATGAAAACCTATGGGTCATCAAATATATTTTTACTCAGCTCCGTACCCTGTCTCCATGGGTAACTTCCCTCAACCTGGGAACGAAGATCTTCCCCCACCGTATCCTGGTCCGCCGGGAGAAACCTCACCACCAGTTCATCCTACAAATACGGATATGCCTTACCGTAAGTTGTGCAAAACTTCGCTCCTCATTGGTGCAGTATGAGCTGTCGTCGTGTAAAGCTGATTTTCAATGACCAAACTCCTAAGAGCCTTATCGGCACTAATTAATTAATATGCAGAGGAAATAGACAATAGAAGCCAAAAAGATGTTGAAGGTATGCTGCACTGCAGGATATAAAAACGTATGACTTAATCTGAGTTAACTTCCACTGCATACAGCCACTATAGCAACTACTATATCAAAAGACGCAGCTTACCTCTGTCAGCGTAATTACCAAGTATATGATCCCAGCTAGTGGTTAAGTGACAGATGCACCTACATGGAGTACATAAACACTTGCATCTACATAACGGTGTAGCAGTCCTGAACGTAACGTATATAGCTTCGTCCAATATCGGACCTGCCGATAATCATGGCATAGAATAATGTACTGTGCTATGAAGAAGACTCTGTCTGAATGAACTCAGTCAAACCAGAACTAAGAGACATTTGAAAAATAGAGCACTCAACCAACACAGTTTCCTTTACAAAACTGGTTGACTTGGAGCAATGAAGGTTTTGTCTCTGTTCGGATATTGATGTTTACAGTAGATGCAATATATGAATATATGTCACTTAACGAACAAGTTAGTTGTGGATACTGATATGACTGTCTACCAAATTTTTGACGGTGAACCGGATGTGTGACCAGGATACAAAAATATGTGTGATAATCAAAAGAAAAACTTGTCATACATAGACCCAAGCATTCGAAAAGCTTACAGCGTGTCATAAGAGTTGAAAGCTGGTATGGCGGTGAAGGTGCACGTTACAGCAGTCGCAATTATACAGGAAGCGCGAAACTGAAGACCAAAAGCTTGCATGTGCCACAAAGATCTGCTTAACAGACATGGATTATACAGAACAAGACTATACAGAACGTGCCAGTGAAGGAAATTCACGGATCCACACCTTTACTATAAAGATCACAGCTACTACCACAACAGAAATGAAGGCGTAGCAAAGGTGCAGCTCTTAACAACAGTATCAGGCAGTGTTACTTTTAACTTCTAATTGGGATAAATGCCAACAAACCACAAGGTTAAATGTGTTTTGAGCAAGCTACAAATTCTTGACATATACTGGTAAAACTTTTCAGGTACGAACAGGACTTCAGTCGTAACAGAAGTTTTGCCTAAAATATGTCAAACCCAACTTCACTCCTGGCAAGTCCATATATGGCCAAAGATACCACTAGATTAAACTCCGTACAGACCCCTAAAGCCAATAACCATACATCCGATAGCTGCTAAAATGATGGTAAGTCTAGCTGCCGAAGTAGCACCAATTTCGTTGGTCACCGTTAACTTCCTAATCAACAACACACATAGAATTATAAAAGCGTGATTCTGAATAATTCATGTCGTCATATATTTTGACTTTGAAGGCGTATCCACTCACGTAAACGACGGTCCGCTTAAAAGTCTACTTTAAGCATCATAACCTGTTCTCATCAATGGATTCCTAGCCATTTTACAGGAAACATTTGCGAGAAGCGTAAATGGTACGCCACTGATTACATGCTTCACTTTGCAAGGCACCATATGGATCTAAATGCGGCCCCAAACTATTAACTATTTGCATTGACCGAATCTAGTCCATACTACTTCCAGTTGTATAAGACTTGGAGAATGGCGCCAAAATTTGGTTAACTGTTTGTTGTCTTAGTGACAGGTAATTTCAAAATTGTAAAACAAAATACTGCATTATAAGGCATTGATTAATTGGCTCAATTTTCACACTGAAATGTGAAGCTTTCTTAGCTTTCGGCTCTGGTAGACATAAGCCTTTTATTTGGATACCAGCCTACTGGCACATTTCGTCAATGAACACAATCTAAGGATTTTCTCCCAACACTGTCGCCAAGGAAGGACGCTAGTCGGCCACTTTTAAAAGCAAACATTTAAATATAATCCACAAAGATGCCTCGTATAACGTTTTCTACAGGATTTCAGAGGCTAAGTGGGTAACGGGACAAACTGCTAAATTTTCAAGACTCAATGACTCCTTTCCTGTAACTCTCGTTCAGTCTCCTACTCAGCCAAATCCAAGTCGCTTACCTACAATTCTGAAATATGCTACTTTACACTGTTTTGGTGATGCGGTGTACATGTACATATGTTAAATCCTATGTCTTTTTCGCCCTCTTATTTTGGAATGTGGGTCAACCGCTTTTCAAATATTTGGTCTCGAATTGAATCCCATATTACAGAACAAATATTTTATCAGTCCACAAATGGCAATGATTTGGCTGATATGTACACCCTGATTAGTAATAATTAGAAACGGATACATGATTTAAAAATAGAGAGTTGTTGTCGTCTTGTTTTTATACATATACCAGGCCCTGACCTAGCTCGTCGACTTCCGACCAAATTTCCTGATCGCAATGGCGACAATGCTTTTTTAATGGCCCATTTAAATATGTGGTTTTTCTTCTGATCATTGCATTCCAAGATTTTGTACTTCTCCAGACGCAGTTTTAGTGTGTTTGCAAAGAAGGTTGCAGGTGTTTTGTTTGAAGAACTGCACCAACCATTTTCTGATTCTTTAAAGGGGCAAAATATTCATCACCAAAATATTTATATGTGCAAGCCTGTTGATAGAAAAGAGAAAAAACCAGACGGTGGACGATGTCATGTTCATGTCTCTTTCATAAAGGCGTGCTACTGACGTTGCTTTACGAGCCAAAGAAAGTGTATCCTAAGAAACTCTATTCATCTATCAAAAGCTTCTAGTTAAAGTGGCTGATTTTGAATTTTGTTCAAAGGCAAACCGCTGACTTCTGTTCACCAGTCCATTTCATACTTGGCTTGCATGAGAGTCCAAACCTCCGTCATCACCCCTTCTTTGTCTCACCCTAGCAGCAACCTGGTTTGATTAAACTCTACGTTACCTACTTTCAGCAATCGTTATTAGAAAGAAAGTATGCCAACTCTCCCGAGAACTAGAAATTTTTCGTATACATGATTCAGATGGCACTCATTCATTACAGCTCTTTAAAGGTGTTCCTGAACTTACTTACATAATTTTAAAGATGTATACGCCATTCGTACTGGAAACGCTGCCTTAAAAGCGGCTAAAATATGCCAGATTATCTTCACTATTCTGCTTTATAGAAGTTATTGAAACACTTCCGCCCGAAAAAATTTCTCCACCGTTTTGAAGACAACAATTCTTTGGGGAGCCATCGTTCAGCGAGCCAGGTGTTGGCTTAAAGTTTACACAGTTGGTTTTACCCTGAACTGTATAGGTGGAACAGTTGTGATTGTCCGCCTGCGGAGCCTGGGTGGGGTTGGCATCCGAATTACCTTCTTACGCTGTCTGTTATCGAGCTATACATAGATAGTTTTACATTGATTAAACCCCCATGTTTGCACATTCAGTGCAAACGAGGATGAATGGTATTTTCTCTCAGATTAAGAAAACCAGTGACAAATTATTCCAGGCATCCTTGCTGTTTTCTACCGTTTATGTGTTTTCAAGGATAATTCGATCTGCCGTCACCCGCTCTGTTCATGCATTTGCAGATAAACCTACATCGTTTTTCCATTTTGCTTTACTGACCACAACGCCCTACTTCAATACAAATACGTGATGATGGGGAATAAAAAAACACTTCGATCAATACAATAATCGCCACTATTGTTGATTGAAGCTTGCCTAAATTAGTAAACTTTATCCTCTCAGGTCTACCTACGTATCCATCCACCTTATCGTTTCACTTTTGAATTCGTTATTTATTGAGCTATCTTTTAATCGTTTTTGGGCCTTTGGACCATTTTTTGCCGGCAAACTATCCTGATGGTCTAGATCTTATCAGTATAAGCATCCAAGACTGTTAAAATCCTCTTAATGGAACGCAACTTTTTCACTTCCCCAATTCTTCTTACTTGTGTACTTAAAATTTGCCATACTCCAGACTAACATTGTCAGGTTTGAAGTTAAATGACCTCCTGTGAATATCCTTCCTCAATTACATTAAAATTAAATTTGTATGTCGTATCGGTAATTAATTTCCCAGTAGAAATCTGTGAAGGCTGTTTTGTCGCAAAAAAGTATGGCATTTTTTTAGTCAAAGGGAAATGTGCATTAGAGTTAACCTCCTTTGTTTACTTACCCATATAACTCACTGGCTTAATAGTTCATTGATGAAACCTTTACCTATACAAAAACTGCTAACATTTGTTGCATGGTTAATTACCTTTTATTATTCTCTTTTCCTTCTTTGAACCTCTTTCGTCCTTTGTCTTCTCTAATAATTATAACGCCTAAGATATAAAAACAAGCCTCCGTACCTCCCAATCAAATTTTGGGGTTGTGTTGTTTCACTTAATTTATTCTGTTGCGTTTCATTGTTGTTTACATGGAAACTTTGAATACGCTTCTCCTAGCAGTAAAAAACTGCTTCCAGAAAGCAACATTTAACGTGATTTAAGAAGGATACATTGGGTTCTTTGCCTGCAAAACTATAAGCCACTAGAAAATTTGGAGGCCCCCAAGTAAAGCCTAAGACATGATACCTGTACAGGTGAAGCTTTACAGTATTGCATATTGCATACTATGTAAATACCACTTCCTTACGCAAAAAAATTTAAGAAACCCTAAGCATTCATTCAGATGGTAATATATACCATCCCGTTACTCTGACCAACCAGCTTGATCAGTTATCCTGCAGACAAAACCACTTTTACTAAGAGTACGGCCGGCTTGAAAACCACTTTAGGTCGATTTGATGAATGTCAAACTATCAGGAAGGTCAGATTCCTGAAATCAACTTCTGAACGCCCGGAACCTATTGCTCCACCAAAAGCTCAACTGGAAAGCCGGCAAGCATCCAGGCCAGTCAATCACTCGATCAATTCAGTAAAACCTGATGAGTGTTCTCTGCGCCACAGAAGCACGACCGAATGTGATCAGCGTTCAGGCTTTTCACAGAGGCACGATCGATGTTGATGGGTG